CAGAGGAAAGCCGGGCGATTCCGACCCGCTGGAGAAACATTCCAGGCATGAAGGTGGCAAAGTCGTTCCAGCACTCGATGCTTGGTACTACGCAGGTATAAAAATAACTCAATACCTAATAATTTTGCATCTAGGTGTTTGGGTTTGCTGAGAGGACTGCGTCGAATGGGAAAAAGGTAGGGAAAAACGTTTCTTGCCGTTTTTAGTAGATGGTAGTTTTATCCGCTTTGTAGCATTTCTGGCATTGTCAACCGATTTCTCTAAGAGGTGCAAATATATTTTAATATATTTTCAATAATATTCTATTTTTATAGATTCTCACCCCTGCCATCTACGATCTTGACGAGAACTTCCAAAACATGGTTGCTTGTGAGCAGGATATGAGCGCTATTGCGGCGTTGCCAAAAGACCACTATCAAGTGTGAGTGGTCGAGCTTAAATAATATTTTTTGCTTTAGACGACAGAGCAAAGACTCCCGCTCCTACTTCCTGGACTTGAAGGGGCAAAAGGCCAAAGATGATGTAGGTTCAAGGCTTACTGTTTTTCTATATATGGATATACAAAAATTTTTAGACCAAATTGCTTAATTTCAGGTCCGCATCATCATTCCATCGACGAGAATGAACTATCTGAGGCCTCCCCTCGTCAACCATAAGAACCAGAAGATTGTTGCCCATCCGATGGAGACGTACGGAATCACTTTGGTGGGTTAATTAAATAATATCGAGAACAGCTCCACCCCATTTATGTATCAGGGGGGACGCTAATTAGCACTTTGCCACCTTTTCTACCTGTTGGTACAACTAAAATTTTGCAACAGTTTTTTATCCCCTTCTATCGTTTTGATCATAAGGAAATCATAAAGAATTCTTCCTTTTTCTTTGCTCTCGCCTTTTTTAACGTTTCTCTTACATTTTGACCAAAAGAACCAACCGTTTTTTCTTTTTCGTTTCGAGAAGTCGTTTCGCCTATTTTCGAGGAGTCGAATAGTTTTTTTGCGCGTATTTATAAAACTTAATAACGATATAATTTCAGATTGCTGTGATCGGGCCCGCGCTAACGGCTTATGGTTTATCAGCCAGAGTTTGGTGAGTTGATTAGCATCTTTTTCAAATAATTAAATTTCAGAAAAGCTAACGACCGTCAACGAGCATTACCCGCGGTATCCGTGTGTCGATGTCACGTTTGCGAGGGTTAGCGTTGAGGTTTGTCCATTTTTTAGAAATTTTATTTATTAAATTTAGTTTAATTTACGAGAACGGCTCATGGTATATTTTAATTGTTTCAGATCAACAAAGACCGGCAACATGGTGACTGCCACATCAAGGGTTATATGATTCTGGCCACCGAGAACGACATCGAAGTACTGGAATTCTATTACGGCGGGTCAGCGACCAGTAAGTTTTAATGACCTAAAAATAGCACCTGGTCAATACGATATCAATAAACTTTCCTTATTCCTTACAGACCACTTTGGCGATCCAAACCGGCCGAAGAAGGGCGACGCGCCGGAAGTTGTCATTGCCGCCAGAAGCATGTTCAACGTCGGGCCACGTGTTTGCAGTGTTTATTGTCCGACTACGGTCAGCAATCTCGACAAGACCGATATACTTTATGTTTTCAGAACGAAGCCTGGGAGGAGAACCGCTTGTCAGTGTTTTACACGGCACAAAAACCGGGAAGCGAAACGGAAAAATTTATCGGGTGAGTTTACGAATTTCCTTACAGATTTTGTCCGGATTTTTCTCACGCTCTTTTGGAACCGAACATGTAAACAATAGCTATAATTTATGTAAAATTAATATTAATGAGAAATTGAGGTTTTTGAGCTTCACCGACCTATTTTATTGTAATTTGATACTAAATAATGATAGGTGAAAAATAACTAGACTTTATATAGAATGAATATGAATTTCTCCTTCAGCAAAATGACCATCGATGTGAGCAAGAAAGGCTCGCCGCTCGGCTATGATCATCTACGTGTGCCATGCAACGGGAATTTCGAGCCCGACCAGAAGTTCCAGGTAATAAAAAAATCAGAATCTTAAAAGCAATGAATTTTATTAAAAACTAGCCTGAGCCTAGGCTTAAAACTCTGCCCAGGCCAAGTGAATTCTGGCGCTAAATCCCCTGCATTTCAGTTGTTTTTCAAGCGAGACGCGAAAACTAGCGAGCCGACGCTAGAAATCTACCACTCAATCCCGACCAATCCGACAAGATTTGTAAGTTTTTCATCACGATTTTTCACGTATAACGTAGTTCTACCGTATATGATGGCGCCGCTTAACATAATCTTATTTTAGAAATTTACCACCTGGGATCTACAGAAGAAGAGTCTTGAGTTCGACAAAACAGTGGAAGCCTTTGAGACGATTGAAAATCATAAGAAAGTGCACTCGGTATGCTTTTAGAATGATTATTCCACATCATTAAAGCGGCTTTAAACTATGATATCACCATTGATAATCCTATTTAGTTAAAATGGCAAGGCAGCTATTATACGGTGAAAACGCGGATGGTCGACTCGAAGGTGATAAGGCCGACGGAACCGGAAATAGGTATCGTTTTGGTGCAACGCATTGAGACTTTACTACTTTAAAAATTTAGTTCTATACGTAATCTATATTTTTAGAACCGTACTACTACCTCCATGAGCGAGATGGCGAATTGGGATGGCTACTGCCAAAGAAATCGAACGGGAACCCGGTAATCTAATTAATTTTTGCATTTATCCAAAAATTCAGAACTTCATCCCCGACAAATGTCTAACAAAGACTGCGGAAAATGGAAAATTCGAGAAATGGACCACGATCATGAGGTAATAATTTCTTCAAACATTGACAAATGGTTCAGAAATCACGCGGTCCTCTACAACGACGAGCATCTGAAAATCGTGCGCGCCGGTCCATGGCTGACGGAGCGAAAAGTCTAACAATTTTTACATTGATGCTGTGTCTCAAATCTCGCTGCTTATATTTACGGGTTGAAGAGTGTAGAAAAACTCCAAATAAACGTATTATTCCTATTGAGGCGCTGGAACAAGATACCGACTAAAATAGCAGCGTAAAGCGCATTGTAGCGGACAATCTAATTTTGCCATACAGCTAGGGATTTACCAAGCTTGAAAAACTAGCAGAACGTCACAGTATCGATAAGGGAAGAAAGAAGAAGATATTTTTATTCTGTTATTTATTAGCATTCATTTCCGTTTTGTCTTTCTTCCTCTGTCGCTCTTTCCCAAGGTTCGCTTACGCGATCCATTCTTCAAACTCCGCGTGTCCATAGACGCCGCCCGTATTCCATGAGCCAAGCTGTTTGAAAATTCGTCTCTTCAAATATCTATTCTTAATAGATGATTAATAAATTACTATTATGAATATTCCTCCCCAACGGCCGGCGCCGACTTTATTCCCTCCATTTTTGGCATCACGGACTACGATAGCTGCTTATCACTACAGTGATAGAAGTTGCATACCCGACTCTGAGGAGGCTTATCATATTATATCAGGTATCCCATCTGACTAGGCTGCTGATTTAAAAATCTAGAAACCTTGACTATTCATTCGCTTTTTATTTTATTTTTGTACTTTTAGCTATCGGTCACATTATCGAGCTTTCGGTCAAAAATAATTGGGAACGTGGCCCGGATCTGCGCACCCTGGCCCCCTGTTTATTTCCTATTTTTGAGGATGGAGAAGAAATTGTGCAGCTGCAATTGGTTTTCAATTGCGACAATTTTGAGAGCGACGGTATAATTTAAATTTTTCAAAAAACTTTTCCTTTGTTCAGAGCGGTTTATCTTCGCATTTACTAAATCGTGGAAATATGCTATCGTAAAATATGGACATTTGCGATCTAATATCAAACATGGCGTGGATTTGGGGTAGGTTGATTGATTTTTGATGAGAAGAATTTCTTCCTACTAAAAAATATGCGAGTTTCAGACCGGCCGATGTTTGGAAGACCGTGGTAGACATGACAAAAATTAATGGAGGCGCTGTGTTAACAGATTATACTTTTCCCACGAATATAAGATGGAGGTACCAGCCGAGAGCACAGCGTATCACGGTAATTCATTTTGCTGCAAGTCATTAATTTGTAGCCACAATTAGCTAATAAAATTGCATTTAGGCAAAAGGACCGCTACACTTGGATATCTTTAACGCTTTGGACAAGGACGAAGCTACAGTTTCAATAGAACGTCATTCGAAATTTAGGTGAACTCTATCTATTTGCACTAAAAAGCATAAAAAATTAAAGCCGAATTGACGAACGCTACCTAAGCGCATGGGATCAGAAGTTCAATTTGTATGCTGTGCATGTCGAAGGGACAAATTGGGTCGAAGTGATTTCGGAGCAGCAGCTTTATATTCCCTTGTCTCAGGTTAGCATACCCTCCTCAAAAGCCTTTACTTCCTACTTCCTAGTCCCTTGAATGCGTAGAGAATCCATTTAAGGTCGAAGAGGATGGATGTATTGACGGCTGGGACTTGGCGGCAGTGAACGGCCATGTGTTCCTACTGACGCACACTCGATTATATCACTTTGACACGATCACTATAAAAGTACCTTATATTGTTCGTGCGCAAACGATGCTTGCAGATCGACGTTCTGGCCCTACCAGTGAAAGGTGTCACCAAGGGTCCACGCCACCGGATGTTCACAACCACCTACCATCTCGAGGCTATAGACGGCAGGAGACGAACTGTAGATATTGTGGTGGCGGTTGACGGTAAGTGATAACATAATAAAGGAGTGGATTTTCATCGAATTTAACCAAAAACCGGAAATTTAAAAGATGACTGAACACTTGATCGAGGGGTACATATAGAATAACGACGGAGGCTTTTCAAATTTAAGAAAAATAGTTTCTTAAACGTTTTTCCGGGTTTAAAATAGCTTCATAATTTTCGACACTCTATCGAAATATCGAAAATCAGCAAAAATATTAAAAATGCCGAAACTAGGGTCCCCCGTTGTCCTAAATCTGTGGCGTCCATCGTTTCAACCAAACATTTTTATGCTATCAAGCTTTTATATCAGATTTTGTCGTGCTGTGAGAATTTCTTAGTATATTTTTCGACGCTCTATCGAATGGCACAAGCCAAGTCCAACAGTAATTTAATATATTGGAAAAATGATTAATGGCCGTATTCCCGTGCCTGTTTTGTACATACGTCAACCGATGGAAGTACGATCGTAAACTATTATATACCAGCCGATTACAGCCGCTTCGCGACTGTAATCGGCTGGCCTTCGGGTTACCCTCCATGTTCTACGCCACCACATTACAACTCTACCTTAATCAATACCCACGCCCACCTTCAGAACCTTCTCTAGCCAACCCCCGGCCAAAAGTTAAACCACCTACCCATACTAACTACCATCAACTATAATAAAAAAGTAGAGACGTCCGTCCGTGTGTCTGAAGCCGAATTCAACTCGAAGGGGAAAGGAGCTAGAGCTTAGCTCTCTTCGGATTCGGATAGAGCGCCGTAAGAAACCCCCAAACTGATAAAAAAATTATGAAAAAGTTTTTGTTTAAATTATTAAAATTAACTTTGAAAGTGGCGCCTTAATAAAACGAGTGGGGGCCCCTGTCCCGGGAGGCCACGCCCCTTTTCTCTTCGCCCCTCTTTCCCAGGCCCCTTCGCGCGCCAAGATAGCTTTCTTAAGTTACTTTAATACTTTTAATATTTTTTGATTATGTTAATTTATTATTTAAATCATTTAAAGCCATCGGGAAGGTATTTAGGTAGTTTTTGAAGGGGATTTCGGCTAGGGGAGCTATCTAAAGCCATCAGGGAGGTATCGAAGTAGTTTTTTAAGGGGATTTCGGCTAGGGGGAGTATCTGAAGCCATCAGGAAGGTATTTAGGTAGTTTTTGACGGGGATTTCAGCTATGGGGGTATCTGAAGCCCTCAGGAAGGTATCGAAGTAGTTTTTCAGGGGGATTTCGGCTATGGGGGGTATCCGCAGCCATCGGGCAGGTATTTAGGTAGTTTTTGAGGGGGATTTCGGCTAGGGGAGCTATCTAAAGCCATCAGGGAGGTATCGAAGTAGTTTGTCAGGGGGAATTCGGCTAGGGGAGGTATCTGAAGCCATCAGGAAGGTAGTTAGGTAGTTTTTGAAGGGGATCTCGGCTATGGGGGGTATCTGAAGCCCTCCGGAAGGTATCGAAGTAGTTTTTAAGGTGTTTGAAGCTATGGGGGGGTATCTGAAGTGGTCAGCGTGGGTATTGATGAAGGTAGAGGTGTAATGTGGTGGTGTAGGACATGGAGGGTAGCCCGAAGGCCAGCCGATTACAGTCGCGAAGCGGCTGTAATCGGCTGGTAAACTACTTAGATGTCTTCCTCATCGCTTCAGATACCTCCCCCCATAGCTGAAACCCCCTTAAAAACAACTTCAATAACTTCGGTACCTCCCCTAACCAAAAATTCCTTAAAAAACACTTCGCTACCTTCTTGGTGGCTTCAGATACTCCCCATAGCCGAAACCTCCTTAAAAAACGACTTCGATACCTTCCTGGTGGCTTCAGATACCCCCCCCATAGCCGAAACCCCCTTAAAAAACGACTTCGATACCTTCTTGGTGGCTTCAGATACCCCCCATAGCCGAAACCCCTTAAAAAACGACTTCGATACCTTCTTGGTGGCTTCAGATACCCCCCATAGCCGAAACCCCCTTAAAAACGACTTCGATACCTTCCTGGTGGCTTCAGATACCCCCCATAGCCGAAATCCCCTTCAAAAACTACCTAAACACCTTCCTGATGGCTTCAGATACCCCCCATAGACGAAACCCCCTTAAACAACCACTTAGATTCCATCCCGACACTTTAAATGATTTAAATAACGAATTAACATAATTAAAACATATTAAAAATTATGAAAGTAACTCAAAAAAGGCCTCTGGGCAAGGGAAGGGGCCTGGGGAAGAGGGGCGAAGGGAAAGGGGGCGTGGCCTCCCGGGAAAGGGCCCCCCACTCGTTTTATTAAGGCGCCACTTTCAAAGTTAATTTTAATAATTTACACGAAAACTTTTTTATAATGTTTTGACCATTTAAGGGGTTTCTGACCATGCTCTATCCGAATCCGAAGAAAGCTAAGCTCTGGCTCCTTCCCCTTCGAGTTATAGTTGGCTTCAGACAGACAGACTGACTGACGGACATCACAGCAAAATTATTATAGTTGATTGATTGGAAAAATGATTAATGGCCTTATTCCCCGTGCCTTTTTTGTAAATACGCTAACCGATGGAAGTACGATCGTAAACTATTATATATTACCTAAGTAAAATCAAGCAGACGCTGAAATTAAACCATAAAATTCTTTAGATTTGCTAATATTGTACGCTGTGTCATATGTCACCAATCAGCTGGCATGCCTTCAGATGCATAACCCTGGAGTCGGTCGCATCACGGCACTGGCCCCTGGCCGAGATTTTGTAAGTGACCTCCCAATAATCACTCCTCCTTTATTTCAGTGGGTCGCTGGTCGAAAAGGGATTGCGAGACTGGTCCCCAATCCTACACACGTCTGCCCCGGTCCCGCTATTGCGCGCCCCCAGGCATACGGTACCCCCGCCCCACCCCCACCCAGTGCCCTTTCAAACTGTTTTAACTTATTTATACAACCCTGGGGAGGTTTTAATAGATCTTTAAAACTAAAATGTTAAAGTTCCTGAGGAGAACTGTCGTTTAATAACTTTTTTGGAAAACAATGACTTTTTGAACGAAAACATAGTGGTGATAGGTTTAGTGCTGCTAGGTTCATAATAAGAACAACTTTTTGTTGGCTATGACCAAGGAAACTTTTAACCGGAAGTTTCTAAATTTGTTAGCATATTGTTTTCCATGGTTTTCTGTTAACAAATGTCTCTCGTTGACCCCTTCTCGGGATCATAAGTTATACTTTGAGGGGATGTAACGTCAGTTGATCAATTCATTGTTGTCACGATCAAGCAACCCTTTTCAAAAGCAGAATCATTCACGAAGCAACCTAGCTTTGCGCCGCCTGGTGCCGATTTCCAAAACTATATTGATCACGTAAGCAGAACCGCCTACTATCTACGATATATAAATTTCTAATGTCCGTGCGCCCGACGTCCGACCGCGACCGGGAATTCAGCCAAATTGTTCATCCAAATTCTAAATTCAAATTGTGGGGGGAGGGGAGGGCCAGCGCTGAACCCTCGCGTAGCGGGGGGTCAGCGCTGGTAAATCTTGAAATGCTAAAAACACGTGCTTCTATTTGCAGAAAGCATCAGCAACACCGTCAAATGTTTCCTAAACCCAAAATCAAAACACCACCTCCGTCCGAAGCCAGTACTGACAAAATTCAAGGCTAACGGCGACAATTTTTCTAAATTGAGCACTTTTTTTCCTATTCGAGACACTACCTCCTAAAAGTCGTCAAAATATAGTTCTCCTCAGGAACTTGCACATTTAAGCTTTAAAAAACTATTAAAAACCTCCCCAGGGTTGTATAAATAAGTTAAAACAGTTTGAAAGGGCACTGGGGAGTGGGGGGTGGGGCGGGGGTACCGTATGCCTGGGGGCGCGCAATAGCGGGACCGGGGCAGACGTGTGTAGGATTGGGGACCCGTGATTGCGAGTGGGTTGCGATCATCTAGGTTCTGGGACCATCACATACCCTCCCGTACGTACACAAACTATCATTTTTGGCATTAGACCATAACGTCTCCTAGTGCTGTGGGTCTTTAGCCTTTAGCCAGTATGCTGGGTGTCCCAAAAAAAAGCACCCCTTCGGTATTTCGCCGTTTTACATCCAAGCGGCCCCATATTTTGCACAAGGGTATATCGTGTGATAAATAACCACAATCCTGAGTTATAGCCCGTTCGCTACCGTAGTTTTCGAGTCATGGCCAAAATACTATTTTTTACGCGAAACTTCACAGTTTTTCGGCTAACTTTTTGGACTTTGCATCGATTTGGATCGACTTTCGGCTGCGAGTCCCTAATTGCGCTTAATATTGGGGGTGAATTTGGGTTATCAATTACCCTGGGGTCGGTGCGCGCGCGCTCTGTCCTTGGCGCTTGTATCGCGTCGTAGTCGGGCCAAAGAGGGGTTCCAGGAGGCGAGGCCTCCGAACTGGTGGCATCCCAGGTGGAGTCGGTCCGCCGACTCTCGAACCTGCGCGCCGTACTTGATGGAATCCAGGATCTTGTAGTTGTACTTGGTGATGACCTTGTGACGAGCATAGGGGGTCTAGGGGTATGATTCTCGCTTGGCATGCGAGAGGTCCCGGGTTCGAATCCCGGTTCGGCCCCCAGTTAGGTTAGCTGACCCCTAAGGGTAGCGCCTAGCAGAAACGAAACGCACAAAAATTGCACAACGGCAATCCAAGAACAACGGCTCAAACGGCCAGCCAAGAAGAATGGGGAGCTAGCCCCGCAAACCACTCTCAAGCCTAATTAGTAAAAGAAAAACTGATTAAGAGTTAGAAAGTTTATTACGGGAAATGGTGTGAGACGAATTAGATGAAGAAAAAGTGGAATTTACAGAAAGGGGAAGGAGAAGCTAAAAGAGAAAAGTATTAGTGAGGAGATGGAAATGGGAAAGTTTAGAGGGAATAAAAATAGAGATTTTAGGGCGAAAAGGGGACATGAATACAGGAAAACTCTTATGGCCAAAACGGGGAAAAACGAGGGGCCAGGGAAGAGACTGGGATTGGGGAAATTCCAACCCTCTCGCTGGGCAAAGGGGAAAATCGTGCGGCCCTGGGGTCGGTGCGCGCGCGCTCTGTCCTTGGCGCTTGTATCGCGTCGTAGTCGGGCCAAAGAGGGGTTCCAGGAGGCGAGGCCTCCGAACTATAAAACCTTATAAACCCTCCAAAATGCCATTCCTGCCGTATTTCATACTCTAGTTACTTCCTATTAATTTTTATCTCTTCCATTTTGGCAATCCCATAAATCATTTCCAAATTTTTTCAGAAGTATCAGCAAAAACATTTTAAGCCCAATAAAAAATGAAAATCGTATCAGAATTCTATTAAAACTCCGACACGGGCAATCAAATATATCTTACTGAAAGCCAGATGGTATCAGTTGTGTATAGAAAGCATTGTAAAACATATCGGTAAAATTCTTATGCCAAATATACTTTTATTTATCGGCTTTCCTTGCTATTCTTTGCAACCTGTGGGGCGAAACGCACCCCAAAACACGCCCCCAAACGCACCCTCAAACGCACCCCGGGGTGCGTTCAAAGGCACCCGGGGACACTATTAATGCACCCCCCCGACGGAGAGGGGTGTCTTTCAAACGCACCCCGGGGTGCGTTTCAAACAGACCCCGGGGTGCGTTTGAAAGGCACCCCGGGTGCGTTTCAAAGACCCCCTGGGGTGCGTTTGAAAGGCACCCGGGGTGCGTTTCTTGGGGTGCTGTCCGACACTAGTGTAAAACCACTAAAACACCAAGGTTCCGAGCTCATTTCTGCAATCCTCTTTCAATTTTCAATTTTTTCCGTTTGGTCATCGGGTTTGGCTAGAGACAGTAAAGAACCGGATCCTGGAGGTGACGACGTGGAATTTCAAATTCCCACGCTTCAGTCCTCTGAGCGTTTATGCGGTCTTGAACGCACAGTTCCCGGTTTTCGGGACGTATCTCAATTTTTTTTGGCGCTCCAGAACCCCCCCTTAAAATCTAGATTTGCCACATTAAAGCACAAGTAAAATAATAATAATAACCATAATAATAAAATCATTCGCTTAGGTTTATTCTGTGCCGAACGGCGACCGCATCTGTTTGCACAACGGGTTAGTTTTTGAAGACTTCAGTGCCTCACCTACATTTAGGAACCTGGTGCGCTACCCAAGCGCATATACGTATAGGACTGAACAACTTGACCGACCCGGTCTCCCCGAAGGGCCTTATGCCTGTTTGCTCGACGCGAATACGGAAAAAATGTTCTTCCTTCTTCTAACAAACAACATACACCGAAGACAATGTGTCTACTTGGAATTGAGCCAGTACAGTCCGAGCATGAGTCAGTTTTTTTATGTTAGCAGCTGAATGTAAAAGAAGCTTGAGCGCAAATGAAACCGCCAGCGGGAGAAAATTAGTTGTAAGCAAGATCAGGGAAAAAGGTGCAGGATTGAGAACCGATTGAGAATGCAAACACATTGTAACTGCTGCCTGGGTTTTCCCTGCTTTTGGTGCGCTACGGTATGTCAAGACATTTTCAAAAGTTTGCCACCTTACTTGCAAATCAAAACAACAATATGCAAGTACAGCACTTAAATCAGCCAGAAGGGATGATTAGCATATTATCATTATCTATTTTAGATTGTGATATGGTATGTGACGCGCCCGTGTTCATGGCAACAATTGACTATGAACGGTACTACACATACCATACGCCAGTCTTCTGGTATTTTGACAACGACGCGATCAAGCCACCTCGGTAAATGGAGTAACTTTGAGCGAAGAGGGCGAGAGAGAGAGAGGGGGATAGGAGAGTCTCTACCACCGATTTAGGCCGAAGGCCAACCTGCCGTTCCGTTTTATTTCCATCAGCCGCCACAAATGTCAGATCTTCGTAGGCAATCGAATAAAGACTGCAACTCAGCCATTTTAAGATTTACATGGAAGGGGGGTTTTCCTTACCGCGCGGCACATTTAACCCACAAGACCTTCCAGCAGATTCGTGAGTGCGCCAAATGTCGTTTTTGCAAGCACGGCAAATTTAGAGCGCCGGATTTCAAAGTCGTCAAGGTCGCCTGCATCATTACACCGCTCATCAACCGAATTATCGTGGCAACTGAGTTGGTGATTTTTGCGTGGTCTTAGCAAGGAGTTTAGACACTTCCTGCTGATGGAAACCCACAGTGGTCATTTTGAAGTTCACGTCATTGACAAGCTGAGCCGATTCAACCAAGCGTAAGTTTGCCACTAAACTTGACCTAAGAAAATGAAACTTGTTAGTTTTTTAAGCCCGAAAATTGCGCTGAAATGCGCTAAAAAACCACCAAAGTAGGGCCTAATCAAATACTTTGGATTTTTTATTTCTGGCAAAAAGTCAGCGGCCGCTGCTGGACGGGAGCCATCACTCTTTCGAGTTTTGTGCTAAACTGTTTTGATCAATTTTTTGTGAAAACACACAAAACGTGCAGATTCTAGGCTCATTTCTGAAATCCTCACGCAATTTAGAGAAGTTTTGTCTTTTAATCATCAAATTTCGCCCATAAGCGACCAAGAACGGAATGTTGGAGCTGACGCTCTGGGCGTACAGAGGCCTTCAACGTAGAGGGCTCCGCTTCTTGGACCGTAACTCAATTTTTTGCGCTTCTTTTCCTCTTTAAAGGGCACGTTTCGGGACGTTTTTTTTGGAAAAAAGCAAAGATTTTTGCCGCGGCCGGGGGTCGAACCCGGCCCCCCCCCCCGCTCGGGAGGCGCGGATGGATACCAGTCAGCCACAGCTACAACCTGGCGAGGGGGCGAGGGGCGCCCCACGCCGCAAAGGAAGGGAATGGCCTGTCACAGCACGGGCAGGCAGTGCGCGCGGTCCCTATGTCCATAGGGTGTACACGTTGGGACGAGTACACGGCCCCTCCCTGAACGTGCGCTTTAAAACTGAAGTATACATTCGTCCGAACCAAGTAGCAGAAATCCATGCTTTCGCATTATCGGGGCGGGGGGTGTATTAAACTAGCCTTAACCTAGTAACTTAAGAGAAAGCTTTTTCAATGTGTTGTTATAGTAAAATAAATTTTATTCTAACCAGAAAAATATCTAAAAACTGTGTTTCGGTCCACAAACCGATATTTTGTTGCATTCTTTAATCAAAAATTGAACAGCGGAATAGTAAAAAAGTTTAGAAACAATTTTGGTATTTATATTTGAAAAACTCGTTCTTGAGAAAAAATGCGATAATGCGAAAAACCTAGAAATCTATCCAGGAGACGTTTTTAGATCGTCTGAAGCGGCGGAAGACGTGATTCCGGCGGACAACATGCGTGGCCGAAAAATCGTGGATATGACAGACGCAGTTCATTGCCACGACATTATTGTGCTGCTGGAGTGCGGATATGTGGTCCATTATGAGTGGGGTCACCTGACGTTGAGTAGGTCCAAATTGACTACCAAATTATGCAAAAAAAAACTACAGCCCAAGTGGCCTACCGCCAGAGTCGCTGGAAAAGCCTAAATGGGATGTCCCTTGCGCGTTCATTTCTGGGAATGAGACATTTCGGTAGCTCGCCGTCGACTAAGGTATAAATCACCGTCACAACATTATCTTTTTGGATTTAGGTATTTGGGTACGCGGAGCGGATTCTGGATGATGGTAGAAAGGTAAGCCAAGCTGCTGACAACGTTTTTCCCGTCGATGAAATATTGATAAAACCAATCTACTCTAATAATTTTGCTGTAATGTCTGTCCGCCTGAAGCCGAATTCAACTCGAAGGGGAAAGGAGCTAGAACTTAGGTTTTATAGGATTCGGGTAGAGCGCGGTCAGAAACCCCAAACTGATAAACAAATTATGAAAAAGTTTTCGTTTACGACTGGGAAACTGCTTTGCTCGATTTTGGGCATAGTGAGCCAGGTCGCGCGCGTTTCGGCGCGGGTGAGGGAGCGCAAGGGGGTAGCCCGAAGTTCAGCCGCTTGCAAACGGAAAGCAGCTGAAAGCCGCCGCTGATTTAATGGAAAAGTACAGGGTGCCCCCAATAAAAAACACGTCCTCCATAATCAACAGAAAAACGGCATAATTCGATCGATTACGTGCGGGAAAGAATCTCTCTCTGCTCTTCTCCCCTAGGCGCGCCCTCTGCCCTGTTGGCTATTTGCCAAAAAGTTTAAGTCGACCTCCCCCAGGGGGGGAGGGTTGAAAGGGGCACTTGAGCAGCTTCGTTTTTCGACGACTCGTCGAAAAATGGCATGCAAAACGTTTGGCCTCCCGTCAGGGTGCGCTCTCTAACCGGGAAAACGTGCAAATTTTTCCACATTTCATGAAAGACCGGCGCTGCTGAAAGTGTCCCTTTAACAGATGCCGTTCTTACCCTTTAAAAGGCACGCTCAGGGACGTTTTTTTGGAAAAAAATCAAAGACTTCTGCCGCGGCCGGGGGTCGGACCCGGGCCCCCCGCTGGGAACCTCTGGAACCCGGATGCATACCAGTCAGCCACAGCTACAACCTGGCCAGGGGGTGAGGGGCGCCCCACGCCGCAATGGAGGGAAATTGCCTCCCACGACACGGGCAGGGTGTACGGCGTGCGTTCCATACACGTGGGTGTACACGTTGGGACGAGTACACGGTCCCTCCCTGAACGTGCGCTTTAAGAAACGGCCTCTGCATCTAATTAACGGCAACTCCCCCTCCGATTTCGTAAAGTATAAGATCTTATTGCTAGATCCTCGTGGCCGTGTGATTGGCGCCGTGTTTCGCGATGACGAGGTTTTGGTGGAACACTTGCAAGACCTGCGCGAAACAGCTTCACTCAGCAGGGACCTGTGGTGATTTATATATCTCATCTGTCAATATATTTTGAAGGAATAACGACGATCGTTACCAGCACTTACTGCTCAGTCTCCAAAGTCCAAAGTCCCTGCGAGATGTCAGTTAACATTTAACCCTATCACTAAGAACTAGCGTGTTTTGTAATGTTGCTCATTGTTTTCAGGTTTCTTTGATCTTACCGATGATATCACGAACTTATCTACGAGCACCATTGATTACGTACAAAATCGAAAAAATTGTCGCGGAGCCGATGGACGAGTTTGGATTCTCTTTGGTCGGGTGTTTTAATTCGAATCTCCAAACCATTGCGTCTTTTTGGAAATTTGTCAAAGAATCATGGTTCTGGTTTGTTAGCGGGGGGCGAGGAGAAAAATTGTTTGCCAGTAGCTTCTCTGATTCTGAATTACATTATTTTGAGGTGTACATAAAACTTTTAGTAGGTTTTTCGTTGTGCTATTCAATAATGTTAAAATGATGTCGAAAAATATCAAAAATAACGAAACACAGATTTCTAACCCCATTTTCGGGGTTATTTTTGCTATAACGGTATGGTGTCTTGAAAACCCTTAGTATATTTTTTGATGCTCAACCGGGCCCCGATGACGTAGTGCTCCAAAAAATAATCAAATACTAAAAAGCCACAATATTAAGCTTCCCCCTCGATAAGTCCCCCCGCTAACGAACCAGAACCGAAATCAGTAGCGCACTCCAAAATCCACTCCAAGGCAGTCACTCCAAAATTCAAGTAACGCCGATATACATGACCATTTGAAGCCAATTAAAATGTCCGATTTCAGCTCGCCGTCATCGGCACCGGCCTCACGTTGATCGTCTATCAACCGGAGCTAGGTTAGGCAATTAATGGTTTTGCTTATTTGCAAATTCAGAGAAACTAACTGTTCTCAATGAACATTTCCCACGCTACCCATGTGTTGATGTCGCCTTTTCCATGGTAAGGAAATGATTTTTAACGCAAATTGGCTTGAAAATTAAACTCGAAAAGGTCAACTTTGTCGAGTTTTTGGAATATGAAATTGCCGCCTATTGAGTGACCTGGATCCAACTTTGTCATTATAGGTTAGGAAGGTGGAAGTGGAAGGAAAGACGTGCATACGAGGATTTATCATCTTGGCCACTGAAGCGGATATCGAACTTTTGGATTTCCTCTTTAAGGGTGACCCAACTGGTGAGTTTTTCAGGAGCAATTTCTTTTACAGTCCCACGTCGTTCTGGCTGCAAAATCCCAAAAAAATACGCAAGTGTACGTTAACATTTTTCAGTCAAGGATTGGGCCACAAAACAGCCGGTTGGCACACCACAAGCACCTATCCTGCGCAGGATGGTGATGAATGTTGGGCCACGCATTTGCAAATTATATGTTCCCACCACCGTAGGCTTTTAAGGAGGTTTAAAACGGATTCTTATAGTATGAGACGCTGCGACACCAGCAACTCGCAATATTCTATGTGGCGTGCTGTCCGAAAAATGAGCGTGACTTTTTTATCGGGTATGGTTTGCTATTTTGTATTTTGGAGGGTCTGGTCACTAACGTTGTAACTGCTCGTTGCAATGCAAGCAATCATCGTGGCGAGCAGGTTTTGCGGAATCTGCCCGTTAAGGAAAGGTTGGTAAGTTTCGTTCTCGCTCATAATAAATGGTGTAGTTAAAGAAATTTTTGTCAAGAGAGCATTATTGGAGCTAACTTTGGGCAATTTATGGGCTAGCTGACGCTTCATGAAAACTGTGGATTTCCGGGGCAATCTGATCGGTCTAGTCCAACGCGGCTACAGCGTAGAAGGAGCAGCCAGAGCCGCTTAAAGGGCACGTTCAGGGACGTTTTTTTTGGAAAAAAGCAAAGGCTTTTGCCGCGGCCGGGGGTCGAACCCGGGCCCCCCGCTCGGGAGGCGCGGATGGATACCAGTCAGCCACAGCTACAACCTGGCGAGGGGGCGAGGGGCGCCCCACGCCGCAAAGGAAGGGAATGGCCTGTCACAGCACGGGCAGGCAGTGCGCGCGGTCCCTATGTCCATAGGGTGTACACGTTGGGACGAGTACACGGCCCCTCCCTGAACGTGCGCTTTAAAGGGCACGTTCAGGGACGTTTTTTTTGGAAAAAAGCAAAGATTTTTGCCGCGGCCGGGGGTCGAACCCTGGCCCCTCGCTCGGGAGGCGAGGATGGACACCAGTCAGCCACAGCCAGGGGCGTAGCCAGAAAAAAATTCCGGGGGGGGGGGCCCGAAAAATGTTTCCAAAAAACTCAAAAAATTAACAAGAAAACAGCGCCGCAGGCAAAAAATTTTAGAAACAAGGCTATGTAGCTTTCCAAATAGCAGTAAAAACGTAAAAAAATAGCGCCGCAGGCAGCAAAATTTTTGAGAAAATAAAAATCATAAGGGTCCCCCCTTATGAAATTTTCGGACCCCGGCCGATTTCGGGGGCTGGCCCAGGGGCCCACCTTACGCTACGTCCCTGGCCACAGCTACAACCTGACGAGGGGTCGAGGGGCGCCCCACGCCACAAAGGAGGGGAATGGCCTGTCACAGCACGGGCAGGAAGTGCGCGCGGTCCCTACGTCCATAGGGTGTACACGTTGGGACGAGTACACGGCCCCTCCCTGAACGTGCGCTTTAAGGGGGACATTCCGCTCTCCTTTTCAAGGTCTTGAAATCGTCAACACTTTAGCACGCGGTCACGGTAGGTGCTCGACCTCCGGCAAAACCGCCCACTCGCCCTGGGGTAAGCGCCATAGACCACCCGGCAAAACACATTGCCAAAACACCACAATTTCCCCAGATTCTGAGCTTCTTCGCCATCTGATTCTGAGCCATCTTCACTCAACTTGCCATAGTTTTCGTATTTTTAATCATCGAAATTGGCCCAGAAACAGCCGAGAACTCGATCTTGTAGGTGACGGCGTAGAATTTAAATTTCCACGCCATTTCCACGTTCCAGAAGTGTCTTTACATATTTTTTGTCTATTTATTTATATATATCCTATTTATATGGGCGCGAACGAAACTTATGCAATTTTCCGTAATGAACCAGTCGAAACGATTCATCGCGTTTAGAGCATTGGTCGTTACCGAAGCGCCACTTTCCAAAAAACCTGGCGTGAAGCCCCAGATGCGTCGCTCTCACGAGCGCATCCCGTGCGTCGGAACATTTCAGCCGGGCCAGGAATTTCAGGTGCGCCTCGTGTTCGTGTCACCTCATAATGATCATTCTAGCTGATGTTGAAACGCATCCCAGATGTCGTTTGTCCGACGGTGCAAATCTACTATCGATTATCCACTGATCCAGACAGATTCGTAAGTGGCAATTCCGCACCCAGAAAATTCCTCTTTTGACAGAAATTCGGCACATGGGACCTCAAAGCGAAGACGCTTGTATTTGATAAAGAGGTGGCGGCGTTTGAGTCCTTTGAGGACAATGGGAAGATATATTCGGTAATTGTAAATTTATGAAATTTTATTGCGGACTTGATTGTAGCTCAAGTGGCAGGGCAGCTATTATTCGGTGAAAACGCGGCTGGTAGATCCGAAGCGACAACTGTCGAGTGCAGCAGAATCCGGTATTTTTTGTGATTTGCCGTTATACAATACAGCTTATCATACTTACAAATACCTTTCGATCTAGGTACAACGTTCTACCTGCATCAACAAGACAATACTTTTGGCTGGTTATCACCAAAGAAAACGAATGGAAAGCAGGTAAGCGCAAAAGCCTGGCTCAATGCTGGACGTTCAGAACTTTTTCCCCGACAAATGCCTCACCGAACGGGCAAAACGAGCTGATCTCCAGAAATGGGCGCCGATATTACGGTACGAATTTGTTAACAGGGTTCCCCAAAAAACGCGAAAATCTTGCTAAACATTTTGAATCCGCATCCGTCAAAATCCCAGTTAAATCGGGAAAATACAGTTTAATCTTTCATAGTTTTTCTGCTACGGACATGCTGCATTCAACCACCCCTTTTTCAGCAATCACGCCGTGCTCTACAACGAGGATCAGATGCATATAATTCGCGCATGCCCTTGTCTCTCTCAGAAAATCACTGAAACGATATGATGATCTTCACCAATTTTGTGAATTTGGTATGCTCATATGCTTTGAAATTTCGCGGTTTTTATGTCTCAAGATTCCGGGTTTGAACTATGGGAAAATAAAAAAAAAAATGTATGGAATGACATAGAAACGTTCGCGAAAAAAACATTTTGTAATTTGAGTGTTTTGAGTGATTTCAATAATTGTTACAGCATTTATTGTTCGCAAAAAAAGTCAGCGAAGTCGGATAGGGAATGCAAAGCGACACAACAATGGGCAGAAGGAGGGGCGAAAGCTTGGTGCGGTATTTCTTTTTGAGTACGTTGTGAATGTTGATGAACGACGGTGGCTGGCGGGTCTCTCATTCCTTGCTGGCGCTATGTCTCTTCTTCTTCTGCGCCGGCCCGTTCACATCAACGGTGTACTCCTGAAAAATTTTTTTGAATACGATGACGATATTTATTTTTGAAAA